AAAAACGTCAAGTCTGACGTTTTTAATAAAAAAATCAATTTTTTTTATATTTAATTATAAAAACGTTTGATGACCCGACCCAAAATTTTCGAGTCAATCTGACAGTATAATGATTATAACTCACTAATAATTACCAAGTTACTCTAGTTTATATTTAAAAAGATTAATTGAACATAATACAAGATTTTCCACATCTCAATAATCTCATAATTAATAGCATGGATTTTTTGGATTACAGTAATTAGAAAATTTAGTATGTTTAAAGTTTGTTAAAAATAATTTACACTCTTGGTCATTCAAATACATAAAATTGATTAAAAATGTTTAAAATTTATAGAAATCATAATTATGAACGAGCACCAACATTATTTAGGACTTACCTTATAACTATATATTTCCAAATATGAAACGTCATTAATGGTAATAAACTAAATTTTTTGATATTATTAGATAATTTTAAAATGACGTCATTACCAAGACAGTTTATACGTCGGTCGAGTTACCAAATTGACCAATAGATAACCGATTTATAATTTATTTTTATTAAACCAACTACATACAAAACCCATAAATAATAGCTAATATAAAAGAAATAATTTAATAATATAATTTTAATTAAACTAAATTCTCATAAAAAAAAAATCATTTGGTATTATTATCTTCTTGATTAATTTCATCAAGATCTACAAAATAAAATTAATAAATAAAGACCTAAAGAATAAATATCTTACCTAATTCTAATTAACAGTCAAAACATTCTGAATCTATAAATTATTTAATATGATATTAAAACAATATAAAGATCTATTAATTATATTGATTGCCAATAGAAATAATTATTTACGTATTGTTGTTTTAGTAACGTTTATTAAAAAATAAAGTTATTAATAATGTAAACATTTTTTTTTTGGTTACCAAAGTAAAGTTAAATTAAATTACCTGAATTTAATGGTTCTGGAAGATTTTTGAAATTTAAAAGTCTACTAATATAGATTGCTTGTGGATGTATTTGAATTGTATATATGTAGATTACAATTTATGTGGTAAGTTCAAAGATAACGTTAACCATATAATAAAATGAAACATAAAAAAAAAATTTTAAAATTACGGAGTTCAGATAAAATTTATTCAAAAAATAGGCTCTTGTGCATGTGTAATATTCAAAAATTTGATACAAAAATTCTATATATAATAACCTAATGACAAAAATAAAATACCTGGTTACGCTATTGATCGGTAAAAGGAAATTTTCAATAGACAATCGATTGAATGAAACGAAATAAAAATAATTTCAGCCAATATTAACTAGCTGTAACTTATTGTTTAAATCAGTATAACTATTATATATTTAGTAAATTAAAAAAAATGAATAATAATAAAAAAATAATTCGAGTTTAAAAAACTGAACCAATTAAATTATCTTTTTTTAAAAAAAAATTGTGAAGAATAATATATCTGTAGAAAGCAAATGCTCGCTGAATATTTTGCATGGAATGGTGATTAATTAAGTCTTCCATCATTTCATATGCACATTGTGACAACTGCTTACGAATACAAGTTGAGCTAGTACACAAAGTACTGATGCTGTCAAAATGGTAGAGGTGGTTGAAGAAGTAATAAATAAGCTGCATGAAAGTGAAAAATTAACTTCGCTAAAAGATATCATGCAAGTTTATTGTCAGCTCAAGTGAGCTTACTTCATTGAAAATTTATCGTGAAACACGAAAAAAATTTGTTCGAACAAAAGCAGATAAGTAGGACTGGCTTATAATATGTGGAATGGTAAAAATAATGATAAACTTATACCAGCCAAACCCCAAATGGAAATACGTTGTTGGAGTTGTTGAAGGTGTAACCACAATAGTAATGGAAAGGAATTGGAAAATGTAGTTTCGCCATTCTCATCCATCACATCGAAATATAACTTTTTATTCACTTGAAAGTCGTCCGACTGTTGTGTAGATGAATTATTTGTTGACGCAAAATGCACTTTTTTTTGAACTTATATTTTTCGTTCTTGCCAAATAATTCTTGTTGACTTTCCATTTAAACTGATTTGCAATTATGATTTACAGTACTATGCTAAAATTTACCCTTCGTACTACATAAACTTTCTATTGAACGTCATACAGAAGATCATTATTCATTGCGTCACTTTGTTGAATAGTAAATCAAGTTAAACAAAAAAGGTATAACTATACTTTAAAAGTTAATTCATTGACGCTATCGTTACATGATGGTGTTGGTTCATTATTTGTATCGGTGATAAAGTTTATGTTGGAATGAATGGTTGTTTAATCGCTTTAAACTTGATTAAAGGAACGGAAATTTGGAGAAACTCACTGTCAGGGATGGGATATAATGAAATATCATTACTTGTTGTTAACATAAACTCTGAAGGAGAAGGAACATCTCATGAAGCTCAATCTTCTATCTTTATAGTTGCCTCTCACGGAAAAGTATATGGAATAAATTCAGAATCAGGAGATATAATTTGGAAAAATAAATTGAAAAATGGAGGTTATGAATTGCCTTCTTTAATGATAGATTCGACTGATAAAGTTCTTGTTGGATGTGGAAAGTTGGTTTATAAAATTAATATTTATGATGGAAAAACTATCTGGCAAAAGAAAGTTTCTACTTGTTTACTTAGTTGTTCTCATGTTACTATGGCCACTCATCAAAGTAGTTTACAAAATGCATTTACATAAACTGGATTTTGTAATAATCCTATCGCTCAACATTCTAGAAAGGAAAAAGAAAATAATAAATACGAAATTGCTTACAGTACAAATATTATATAATGTATTGTTAATTAGTGGGGATTATTTTATAAACATAAATTGTGTTAGTAGAAAATATTTGATGTATATTAAATGAGAATTTCAAATTTTATATTATATGTAAAATATTAAATTATAAATAATGATTTAAAGTTCCCTTTAGACTTTAGTATTATTTTTTATTAAAAAAAAATAAAGGATAATTTTTTTTTTAAAAAAAATTCAATATTTTATATTTTGCGAATAATACGCTGATGCAATTATTACCATATCAGATATTTGAGAGATTGACTTTTCGCCAGTATCTGAACGGGATCTTGTAAATTTTTTAAATTATATTACTATTAAGTATTCTTACATCATTATGTTGATTTGTTATACAATCTCATATGAAAAAGTTATGCTGTAAAGGAAAATCTGAAAATGTTTAATCAGATTATTAAATTTTTTTTTTTACAAAATTCTTTCCTACCTGCCTGATTGCTGCTTTTTTTAAAACATTAATAAAGTTGAATTATCATTAATTGTTTACAACATTAAGTTTTGTGCGGTAATAAAGGAAACAAATTCAAACTTAATAAAATAATTTAACTAGGAAACGTAAGTCCGGAGCGAAAAACTAAAATTGTGATTTCGTTGGGTGGCGATCACATGGCGGACAGAGAAATTCACGTGATCGATTTTTTTTCATAGTGCGACTAGTGCATAGACATATATTGTCCTTCGCTTCGCTCCAGACAATTATTGTGCTTAAAAAAATTATGTTGACGTTAATACGATATTATTTTATTTGGAAAGAAAATGACAAACATCTAGGACTAGAAGATCGAGGAAACCGTTAATACGAATTTTATCAGCAAATAAAAATTTATTCGCTTTTGACCCAAGCGTACACCGTACATGCATAGTTTTGACTTAATTTGTTGACAGTACTTCCAATGACTTTGGTTAGTTTCTTTGAGGTTTGGGCTAGACGTAAAGAAAATATTATTGCTTCCAATTATAGAAATTTATGGAAACACGATCAACGTAAAACAATATAAATAAGGTGTCGGCTGCAACTCAAATTTTTGCCATTTTTTTTTTCCTTTTTCTCATTTACAACAAAAAAAATGATTTCAAAATTTTGGGCAGAATTATCCAACGATTATGAAAAACTTTTTGAAACAGAAATAGGATATGACGTTATTATTTATGCAGGAGATGATCAAAATGTAAAAGAAATTCATGCTCATTCAAATATTTTATGTGCTAGGTCTCAATATTTTCGTACTGCATTTTCTAATGAATGGGCTGAGAAAAGAGACGGAAAATTTATTTTTAGAAAATCAAACATTTCACCACAATTATTTAATATCATTCTTAGGTAAGATATTATTGTTTTATAAATTTTATCATATAAATTTGTAAAAAATATTTAACTATTAATCATATTGTTAGGTTCATTTATTGTGGAAATATTGAATTGAAGAATTTACAAGGCTCTGAAGTATTAAAATTATTGATAGCTGTGGATGAACTAAATATCAATTCGTTAATTTCTCATATTCAAGAATTTTTGATTGAACATCAAACCGAATTTTTACAACAAAATCCGACCAGAATTCTTGAAATTATTTATCAACATGAAACATTTACGGATTTATGGAATTTTTGCCTTGAAAAAATTTGTGAAGAACCTAAAATTTTATTCAGTTCCAAAAATTTTATTAATTTAAAAGCTCCTTTATTGGAATTATTATTAAAAAGGGATGACTTAATTATGGATGAAATTGAAATTTGGGAGTATTTATTAAAATGGTGTTTTGCCCAACAAAATATGCAGAATGATTCAACAAAATGGAATAAAGATGATATTATAAGAATTGAAAGAGAATTATACAGATTTATTCCTTTAATTCGATTTTATGATATTGAACCTACTGATTTCTTTTACAAAGTTTATTGTTACAAAGACATCTTACCACAAGATTTAATTCATGATCTTTTGGAATATCATATAGCTGTCTCTTATACACATCTAGATGTGTATAAGAGACAGTCAGTATACTATTCAAATAATTTTTTCTTTTATTTTATTTTATTTTTAAATATTTTCTTTTATTTTCGCCCAAATGGGTTGATTTTTTTTCTGTTATTTTTGTTTAGTTATCCTGGTTCATCAGGAATATAGTAATTTTTAGTATATTCTAGGTGTTTAGTTTTGTATTATTGTTATGTAGATTTATTTCTATTACTGTTATCAAACTAATGACACGTGCTGTAATGTTTCCTTTTATAATAAATAAATTTTTCGTTAACCAGTAAAAAAAAAAAAAAAAAAANGATAGTAGACATCCTCATTGGGTGGCTACAGCAGATAGCTTTATTTTTAATTTTATCAATGGAGGAAATATTTCTACTTCAAAAGTAAGTTATGTTAAGAAACAAGATCGTGCTGTTTTATGTAATAATAATTTCGGGCCAACTATGGGTAATATATACTGTAATAACAATAATTGGTCTAATGAAAATCGTGGTTATGGAGAAGTCTATCCAAGCATAGAAATTCCAAAAAATTTTGAAGTAGAAGATTATGAAGTATTTCAAGTAATTAAAAAGTAAATTTAAGATGAAATTGAAATTGTTTTTTTCATTATATGTCTTCTGAAAAAAATATTTCACTACCAATAATACCAGTTTTCTGCGAACCTAATAAGTAAAACAACTTTATTAAATTTAAATTCAAGATGCACAAACATATTAATAAAGTAAATAAATTTTATCTTAAAATATTATATTTTTTCAAATAACAAAATAGTTAGCATAATGATATTATTAAAGGATAGGCAGGGTATAAGCTTATGCCAATTGTACCATGTAGGTTTGATGTAAATTTCATCGTTTTTTAATATAAAAAAATGCGTCTCTTTTAATAAAAAAAAATACATCATTTCAGTATAAGAAATATGCTGTTTAATTGAAAGAAACATCAAAATCAGTTATTAGTAGGAAAAGGGTGCTATGGAGACAGAATATTTCACGATCGGAAAATGAAATTGTTCGTTTAGCGGAAAAAGTAAAGTGATTATGGAATTCACAATGCTCAACGATAATTTCAGAAATCGAATAAATGACGAAAATAGAGAAGTAAATGAAAAGAATGTGAATGAGAAACGTCTCGAAAACAGGCCACCAGGGGGTGAAGCAGACAAACAATTTAAAGAAAAGTTAATTAACTTATGTTGAGGTCACGTGATTTAACGTACAACGAAAAGAAGGAGTCATATTGTTATTTTAGTTGTTTCTATAATGATTTTGTTGGATTAAGAAAGTACATTGGAAATTTTAGGGATACGTTCGTGATATCAAAATCCAAGTTTTCACTCGGAAATTTATATTGTATTTGTTTAGAATATGTGAATAAATTATGTATTTTTAATTATGTACTAAATTTGTTTAATCACTCCTAAATTTGTACTAGTTGCTTAGTTTTATACTATTTTAAAAAATAAAGTAAGCTGAACGGTAATATATCGATATTAGTAATTTTTAGAGACATCATGACTAAAAATAGATAATCAATTAAATTGCGTAATAATTTTTTGGTAGTTTAAATTTATTTATCAACAAATATACAAAGTTCATTTCACTTCGTATTACAGAAATTTTAACACAGTATTTCATGGACTGAACAATGCTTTTCAAATCTTAAAAACTTATATTGTCATAAAATCATCAAAATATCTTTGAAGGTTTAGCTACAATAAGCAAATCAATTAAAGAATAATAATGATATTTCCGGAGTTATTAAATTTATAGAAGCTCAAAAAAACTTAAACGAAATCCATATATCATGTGATAATATTGAGGCACTGGTAACTATTGAGGAATTACTTATTAAAAAAGCAGATACCGTCCAACATTTAAATTTTATGTTGGGAACCTGTTCCAAAATTTCTTTCACATTTTGTAAATTTAAAAATTCTAGAAATGAATCCACCTTCCCTGTTTCAGAGATCTGCAAAACATGCAAACACAAATTTGCGTCATTTGGAGAAAACATCCGTCTTTACCTGCTGCTTTAAAAATCTTAAAGCTAATTTATCCTCACATATAATCTTGATAAGATTAATTGAAAGCGCAAATGTACAACTTATTACAATTAGTATTAGAAAAGATATTTTAAAATAATATTGATGATATTAGTAGACTTACACAAACATTATATCAAAATTGTCCAAATCTTAGGTATATTAAGCTGCCAATTAGAGATAATGTTCTTACTGAATTGAAAGATTGTTAGCTAATTCTCAACATTTAGATGGATTAGCTATTGTTAATGAAGATAATGAAAGAGGCTTTAATTATAAGGATGTATATGAAATATTAACTAGATCATCACCATTAAATTTGTCTAAATTTGAATTTGTTTTTGAAGAAAGATTGATGCCAAATTTAAAATTTTTAGAATCATTTCTTAATAATTGGAAAGATAGACAACCTATATTATTACAAATCTCTCTGAATTGTATAAATAAAAATCAATCGGATATGAAACGATTGAAATTATTAATTTTAAAATATAAAAGGGAAGGAATAATTAAAAAAATTGATTTTAAATTTGCGTGATAAATTTGAAGAATTTGAATGGGTTCAAGATGTATCAAAATTTCATTTTTTGCCATAGTATACTTGAAGATCCAAGGATTTATTCTTTTTATATGTAATTATTACCGAATATAAATAAATAAATATTGAACCCTTTAATATGATTTGGTAGTAATAATTGTTATTATTGTTATGAATTTATGATTATCTTAAAAAATTTTTATAATTGCTTACGTATTTACGAATATTGTAATTTTATATTATTGATCGATTTAAAAATTTTTATTGAATAACAATTTTCTAAATATACTATATATGCGATTGAGATTAGGTTTGTTCATCTCCGTATAATTTCTCTATTACTTAATAAATTTCCTAACCTTCCTTGAATTAAAGAATTAGATATAAAGTAAATTGTTTAATTGCACGCAATATACTATAAGTTAATCAAACCAATAATTGTATTATCGTCCTTATCAATCGGTTGAAATCACATCTTACAATTATTATTGATTACTTTCATTTAATTTTGGGTATTACTAATATCACCAGTGGTGACGGTCACCAGCAGCAGTGGTGAATTTATGATGTAATGCTGGCCAGTATTTTATTAGATTTTTAATTCCGGCCAAAAGTACATCATAATCTGGTGTGGTGACGTAAACGTTTTTTATTTTTTATAATGAAAAAAAATGTTTCCACAAATTTCGCTAAAGAATTATAAATTTATCTAAAAGTTTTTTATTCAAGCGCATTGATATAAAAAAATTGTTTTACAATCAACATTGTAACCTGGTTACGTATTATAACTGTTATCTAACTACATTTTACTTTCCATAAAAGTCAACATGTATTGAATCCGTCAAGACAATCAAAGAATTCGAAGAATTTACCGTAGTTAAATTTATTAAAAAATTCTTAAATAATAAATGAACTTCCGCCCTGCCTATACAGTGTAATTTTAAAATATTTAATGTTCTTATAAATTTTATTCACTTAGTTTTTTACAAAAAACCGTGAAATGCGTGACAGTAAAATGATAAGATCATATTAGTAACTTCTTTTATTTATGTCATTTATAAATGCATATCGATATAACGACTATAACGTATACATAAATAAAATCATCATAATCATACTTATTATCATGAATTATTACTATATCACAAGGAAATTTTATTTGAATTATGAATAAAAAAAATAATAATAAAATTAGTTTAAGGATTTTCTAAGTACGAAATACATTGATTTTGTTATCATTTGTCATTTTGTGAAATGAGAATCTTAATTTATTTTCGTTATCAGAAGCGATTAGCTAAGATTTTACAGTTAAACATTATGTTTATAAGGTATTTATCAAAATTAATAATTGTAGAAGTTGCTAATACAGGAAATTTGACTATATTTGAGAAAATAACTAAATAACCTATATAAAAATCTTATTCAATAACCTGGAAAAAAAGATTCAAGATATTGACGCTCAGAAAATCCACAAATTTTCGTTCTTTTATGATAGTTCTGTACGCTGAAATTCATCCCATTTAGCTTAGTGTATGCATTAATACCTGGTGGTCTCATAGCATAATTATAGGGATCTGGCTTACCAACAATTATCTCATCAACAGACATTTCACCGACAATCATTTCACCAACCCTATAAAAAATGTTTGTCTGATAAATATTCGGAATGGGATCGATTTTCTGAACACTCGCATGTTATTATACAATATTTGTTACAATTTAATACAAGATGCAGAAATTGAGAATTTTTGACCACATAAAAAACGTACAATATCATGATAATTGTCCAATAAATGTCAAGTAAATGTTCAGAACGGGGTCAATTTTCCGAACAAAAAACTGAACAGTGTTTGGACAACTTTTTTTATAGGGCGACAGTTTCATTTTACCAAGTTATTTCACCGACAGTTTCGAAATCCTAATCCACTTTAGGGATTGGAACCGGTTAAGGTTAACCGGTTAATTAACCGGTTAAGGCGGTTAACCGGTTAAGACCTCTCAAAAAACGGTTAACTGGTTAATTTAACCGGTTAAATTAACCGACTAATTAACTGGCTAACTTAACCGGTTAAAATACAGATCATCCTAAATTAGTAATTCCTAGCCAACTTCTAACTTTAACTTTACTAGCATTAACTTTAATTTTGCCCACCCTAATAGATTCGATGATAAACCTGCAATCTTATATTTTAATATAATATATTGCATATGATATTTATAATTTAACATTATTTATGTTAAAATATTCTAAAGTTATAACCTTGATTTATGCAGAAATCAGCATGATATGATCGGGTATAGTATTTTAAATAAGAAAAAAAATTTGAATACTATAGTGGCCATCAGAATTGGAATGGAATTTCGGATAGAACTAAAAATATAATTAAAAAACTTTTCAACTTAGTGCTGATACCGGTGACCACTGCATGACTGGGTAATAAGTAATTACAATATACTGTATGTAATTTTTTACTAATGTATACATTTTAATATAAATATTTACCAGAAATTACTCTTAAATAATACTATTTAGTTAAAAACACAAAAATTTATCTTTAAACACGCGTTAAAATACAAAAAATAGGCCTCTAAACACACGTTAAAATATAAAATTTATATATTAACCGGTTATTAACCGGTTAGCCTCATTACAAATTAACCTGGTTAATTAACCGATTAATTAACCGACTATTAACCGGTTAGACGCTCTAATTAACCGGTTATTAACCGGTTAAGCTTTTTTTTGATGGTTCCAATCCCTAATCCACTTATCTTAACCTTATCCTAACCCTAACACTAACACTAATACTAACCCTAATTCCTTACCTGAACCCTATTCCTAACCCTAACCTACCCTAATTTCCTTACCTCTAATCCCAAATTCCCTTGTCGGTGAGATTATTGTCAGCAAAACATTTGTCTGCGAAATGACCCTGTCAGTGAAACATCTGTTGGTAAAGTGATTGTTAACCCTAATTATAGCATCTCCAGAAAAAGACCCAAAATATTCTTCCAGTTGTCTTTACTAACGATTGCAGACATTAACTTCAGTTTAAGTTTCTTGGAGGATGCTTGATGTGTAAAAAATAAAAATACATTGATGTATCCCCATTTGTAGTTTATCAGTCTCTACCATCAGGCAAAATTTATCACCATATTTAGTACAAGGTGCATTGATTATAATCTGTTTTGCTACTGTAATATCAACTTTTTCAATCTGACACTGAATTATTGTAACTTGATATAATCTTAAGACTTGGTGCTGATTATATCACATTAATAATTGAGAGTTAAAGCTTTTTTAAGTACAAACTGATGACAGTCTGTGTAGAGACTTTCGATTTATTCTATTATATCTTAAAAATACAAATATTGTCCTTAAACCATATACTTCCCCGTAGTAAACTTAACATACTAGTGACATACCAAACTTTAACTATGTTGTTTAACTTTATTACCAATATTGGTTTAAACCCTGAACAAAGGATGGCTTCTTGAAATATGACTCAGGTCAGTTATACTGAAAAATACAAATAAGGTGTATATTATATAACTCAATATATAATATTGGGAACTTTTTGAAGAATTTCATATTTATTTTTCTTGTTAGCTCCGTATTCTGTCACAATTGGCTGAAGTAGTAAAATCTTATAAACATTTGGAAAGAACTTGATCTTATACAGCCTATGTTATATACTTTGTACTTCTATGTTATTAAGGATGTTAAGAAACACCTTAAAAGAATGATAAAGGATCAGAGAATACAAATGCATATTATTATGCATCCGTGATTTCTTATCACAATGGCATAATTCAATAATTCATGTTACAATTTTATGAGTCAATCTTTTGCAAACAAAAGAGTCCGGGTTGAAATAAATCTAGAATCAATCTACTATACTACTCAAAATTTATTACACTATTAGTCATGAAAACTTTTTCTCTTTAAAGCATTTCCTTATCTAATAATTGTTTTTGACTTTATAATAAATTAAATCTAGAAATTTATCACTGATATTTTAGCAACATAAATGGCAAGGACAGAGATTTTGAAATGAAGTAACCTGGATATCAATGCTTTTAATATTCATAGAGAATTATCAACTGAACAATTTATTCATTTTGAAAGTGGTAGTGCTTCAATAAAGCAAAGTAATTTCAAATTATTATTTTATTATTTTTAATTATGAAATCTTGCAAGTATATTATTAGTAATAAAAATTAAAGAACTGAAACTCCTTATGACATCCAATAATTATAGCTCACTGACCATATTTAACGGACAAAAATACAGAATACTGCCAAACAAGTTACGAAGTATAAAAGGATTGTAAACCCTATTTATAATTGTTTCCCCATTAAGTCAAAAGATGATATTGAACATCTTTTTATGTTGTTAATCATTGTGATGCTAATATGGCCCTTTTAACTTTAGAAGACACATCATTTTAGATGTACTGTAATAATCAAAAAGAAATATCTACAATGTGTTGTTTCTCCAAAGCTGTAAATATTTATAGTTTTGGAATGGTTATGTATGAAGTAATTTATTATCTCCATATCATGATTTTTAAGCCATGAAGAAAATTTAGCTATAAAAATTTGTCAAGGACTTAGACCAAGGTTCAACATTAAGTACCCGAATTAATTATAAAAGATGCCTAGATGTAAATCCATCAAAACGAGGAATCTTTCTCACAACACTTTTTTCAAAAGAAATGATTGGTAAGGCGAAGGTATATATGTGATAATGTGAATCATCCAGTGTATGATAAGAAATTTAACCACCATCTCTAATGAATATAAATGGTTTTTTTTTGCAATTCTGTATGTAGATCAATGGAAAAATTATAGCCGGAGTTTAATGATGGGCTGCAAAAATGTGACGCTAATCGTCCTGAATTGGATAATCAATAGGTACAATCCTGTTGATTGACTCAATCTAATCCAAATTAATTTTTAATTTTATAATAAATATGGATTAGATTGAGGCGTCGGATCAATCCAACCCAAAATGTATTATTACCGTATATGTTTTAGTTTAAGAACGTGCTAGATATTATACATGAAACAATTTCCGTTCCCTAAGACGGTTTTAGAAAAGATAATCAAGGATTAAAAATTTAGCTAACGAAATTAATATCTCAAAAGAATAAAAATTTAAATATTTATTGTGAAGAAAAATATCATGACGGTCAATAGTTTGTTAATCTACAATATTAAAGAACCTTGTTAAATACAATATTTCCTTGATAGGAGTCATTTGATATTCTATGTATTGGAAGAATTATGAAGAAAATTAGATATATGTAAATACAGTATATTATGCAAAATTAAATGATAAAGAATAATTGAATAAACTTATTGTTTGAGTTGACGTTAACGATTAATTCACAGTATCCCTTATTTTGTCAATCATTAGCCTCGCTATCTGACGCAACTTTTGAAGATTTGAATCTTGTATATTAAGCTTTTCATTTCCTTATCAAAGGATTTTTTGACGTTTATCTATAAATTAATGAAATACGAGGCAATATATAAAAAATTATATAATGATGACGTTAAATTTCATCAGTCTTTTCAGAATAACATCATTTCACAAGATATGAATGGTTTAATTTGAACCATAGCTTTTTATTCTTTAAGTCTTACGATTAAATAGATTAGAGCAGTAGAAAGAGATTCTTTCTTTTGATATGTGCAATATGAACTATAATTTAACTTATTATTTTTGCAGAACGCAAGGTTTTTTCTATTAAGTACCAACAGACATAACCAATAATATATCACTTACTTTGTTTGAGCATGATTTTTCAACAAAGAAAATATATTTTCAGTTATTCTTATCTGGAAAATTTTGTTCTTTGATACTGCCTCAGAAAATAATTTGGTAGTTGATTTGTTAAGGATGGTATACCCTATAAAAAAAGAAAATTCGGAATTTGTCCTGAAAAGTATGGAAAATGTCCGGAAATTTTCCGTGCGTCCGGAAAACATTCGGAAACGGTCACGTTTTGGAACATTTTCCGGACGCACAAATTCCAGACATTTTCTTGACACTCCAGAATTTGTCCAGAATTTGTCCAGAATCGAGCGTCCGGAAAATGTTCCAAAACATGACCGTTTCCGAATGTTTTCCGGACGCATGGAAAATTTCCGGACATTTTCCATACTTTTCAGGACAAATTCCGAATTTTCTTTTTTTATAGGGATATTTCAAAATAAATAATGTACCTAATTGATTTTATACGTTATCATAGGTTATTTATAGATATAATATAACTACAAGTTCTCAAAATTAATTCATAATCAACGAATTAGTGAAATCTAAAATTCTTTTATAATCAAAATCTTAATTGTTCTGTTAAAAATTGATATTTATACGATTTATAAGCCTATTAAGCCTACTATAAACGCGAAAAAAACGCGTAATATATATATTACTTTATACTATTTTTAAAATGTCGTGTTACTTAAGATAGAATTTTACTGTGTTTACTGTGTTACTACGTAATTTATCATCTTGTGAAACTGCAGAGTTAATCATTTGTCCTTGTTATTATTTAGGTAGGTACTTGCTATTATGATCAACGTACACAAATCATAAACATCCTTAATTTGAACTAGTGCACCGTATGATAAAGATTACCTGTGAAAAAATCTCTGATAGGAAAGGTCATATGTAGTTCTTATGATCACAAATAGTGCCAATCAAATACAAATACAATAATTACAAGTGGCAATATTCTCACAATATCAAACCCACTTTTTCCAACTTTCGTATAAAATGGAGTTTAATAAAAATAACAATAAATTAGACAAAACACTTAAAAGAATTAATGTGGTAAGTTTTACATTAACAGTCAAAGTGAAATAATTTTTGCCCGCTATTAATGTTTGCCCTCTATTTTATCTAATATGAAACGAGACTTTTGCTTGTAAATATTATTAATAAAGTAGTTTAGAATTTTTGAATATTTATTTCTTTTTTCACATTTTTATTATTATCAATATTTATCAGGAGTTACGTGACATAAGACGTAATCCAGTGCCGCTTTTTAATGCTTGTCCGATTGGAAATAATATATTCCGTTGGCTGGCGACGATTTTAGGCCCCGTATGTGGTATTCACTTCTTTTCATCTTTTGAACCTCAACCAAAAATCAAACTCTTTCTTGATTATTAATAATTTGGATTAGTCCGACTCTCCATATTCGGGTGGCGTGTTTTTCCTTGACGTACATCTTCCTACAGATTATCCTTGGAAACCACCAAAGGTATGTTTTGTTTATGTAATTGTATACATTTTTACATGTGAACTTACGTATACTCTCACAATGATACTATGATATTTAGATAAACTTTACAACAAGAATCTATCATCCGAATGTCAATAGTAATGGAAATATAGGCTTGGATAACTTGAACTACCAGTGGTCACCAGCGCTAACCATTTCAACAAGTAATTTCTAAGAATCCGTAGTTATGAATCTTTGATAAAAGAATACTAATCGTAAATACTTTTTTTCAAAGTACTCTCATCAATTTACTCATTGTTGACCGATCCAAACCTAGGTACAGTACATTACTTATATAGATAATTATTTTATATTATTCTTCCTTAGACAAAATTGTTAATATGATCTATTATTAATATTAGACTTTACATTTGACCCTGAAATTGTTCACATTTATAAGAATGATCGTTCTCGCTATGACGCTATTGCTCGTGAATGGACAATCAAATATGCTAGTGAGTTACAATTACAATTATGATAGTTTAATATCTGAATTTTTTGCTAATTAATTAAGTCATATGTTAACATCCTATATTGGTTTATTTTATTGTTAGCTTAAAAAATATAGATTATATAATCCGTTTGCTGTCAATGATGTTGTCATCCATTTAATGCGATTTGTCAATATTAACGAAGAAATCAAGAAATATATATTATATATATATCCTTAAACAATATGATGGTTATTTTTTAAATTTTGTCAAAATATTTACACAATAAAATAATTATATTATATTTTCATTACAATTACATTATGTAATGATCCTTTAAAATATGATGAAAAGGATTTCTATTAAAATACATAAAAAAAAGCATATTCTCACTATTCTCATTAATATTAAATTGCTTGCTCTGAAATTTTTTTTATAATAAAAATTTTTGTTTGTCGTGATCAATAAATCGAAAACTAAAAGGTATAATGCTTATCATTCATTCTTTCTTTTGTAAAACTAGGAAACGGAAACCGTTGTAAGTCCGGAGCGAAAAAAAAGAACTCAGATTTGTGATTACGTCACGTCGTCACGTGAGGGACAGAACTCCCGTGATCGATCGTTTTTCATAATGCGTAGACATATATAGTCCTTCGCTTCGTTCCGGACAAATAATCTAAAAAGAATTAATAAGTTTATTACATGAAATTGCAAATTTACGCTATAGCGGCTCCATAATGCTTACATTAATCGAATTAAATTAGGAGTTAGGATCAGAAGTCGATGTATTACATCTATCTGTCCATTTTTACTAAAGACTAGATAGCATTTCTCCTATAAAAAAAAAATTTCGTTACATCATATTTATTAAATATTTAATGTTCATCGTCAACATTATTTTCAAATAGTTTCTTTTTTTGGTATTTTGTTCTAAATGATATTAAATTATTAATAATATTGAATTTATTAGTTACAGAAAACACAAGAAAAGTTTGATTTATCATACCATTATCTTCAATTAAATCATTTCAATATAATAATTATTAATATAAATCACAAATAATAAATAAATGAAATATTAAACAGTAGCCAAATAAATGAGATGTTTTTATTATTTCTGCATTAATTTTAGTTGATTTTTGATTTTCTTCTTTGCCAGTATTTTTCTAATTCTATTATATATATCATTAGCTGTTGTCTTTTTTTTGGATTAGAAAAGCCAACATTCTTTAATTAGCCCAAATATACAGTATATCCTTAAGGTGCGTTTGTGTCGTAATTCATCTTACCATCACATATTTTAATTATCAACTCTATAACGAGGATTTTGTTCCAAAAAGGTCTTCTATCTGTCATGAACTCACATATAGTCATTCTAAAACTATGTGTATCTGAAGATGTAGTATATTTTTTATCTATAAAAATCTCTGGAGCCATGTAAAGAATGATACTATCTTCATTATAATTATCAGTAGATTCAATTGCAGATTTACTTATTCAAAAATCACCTATCACTACATTATAAATTTATAAAAAAGATATTCTATTACGTAAATCTCTGTGGACTTACTAATTTACATAAGGCATTAAGCTTTTTTTCCCAATTAATTTTATAAAATTCATTGGCTGGGCATATAAATGTTTTTAAAATCACCTGATTAAAGGAATGATCGTCCTAATATAGATAATGTCAGCCAGAACCTAATGCTTGCTGGCATTATCGTAATTTTGGCTCTTAACCTAAATCTTTCATTTTGCTGGTTTTTTCTCTCTATCTCCTACTGGTTCGGTTGAAGTCTGTTATCTCACGTTCTGCAAATATACTTTATAACTATCCAATTGACTTCTAAGATAATTATTGTGAACGCATATAGTTTATAAAACTGCTTCGAAGGTTACCAAGAGGTGCCGACTCTTGAGCAACTTCTTCTGTCATAAGATGATATCCATCTTCACAATCTATTATTTGAACTCCCTCGAGTTCACATAGCATTTCTTTGGCTTTTATTCCTTTACGAACTAAAGTAGCATCTTTGGTAGGTTGTTTCAGCAATCAAAAGTAAATCTATCTGTTTTTGTTCCAATATTCTGGAATAGAAACTTAGGCTCCATATATAAAATGATGTGACACTATTATCAGACATGAGAGCCGAAGCAAGATCTAAAAATATAAGAATATACAACAATTGGTACGTAATGATACTTCTTATAGGTGTCTCATAACGATTAAATAAAGGAAGTTCTATTGTCTTGTTTTTCCTTCCTAGGTACTTGAGGCCAATATCATCCAAAAGTATATAAAAATGACTTTTTTCTGATTGTGTCCAATGTAACAGGAGAAATAATTTCTTCTTTAAATAAAGAAAGTAAGAATTTTCAAATCATATTTTACTTCAAAAGCAATATTCTATAACTATTCTATACAAAACTTAATGTTGAATTAACGAGGCGTGCATATTATATATTTTATTTAATGTAATACTTAGAACAAAATCCTTTTAGATAATGCCATATATTGATCCATCTACTTTTAAATGAATAATAATTAAAATTATCTTTTAAAATAGTGAGTTTTTTATTATTATAATACGTAAAAATTATTATTTTTCTCTAGACTTTCGTAAAAATCTACTTCACACAAATCCATCAAAATTTATTAATTCTCTGTTATTCTTTATGAATGGATTTAGCATACTACTGTATATTCTTCTTTGCATAAGTTAGTTTGTTTACACTTTACAATGTAATAATAAAAGTATAATTAAATAATAGATATTTATTCTTACACATCAAAGTCAAAGTATGTCTTGGATGAGTTCCTGGTATTCCTTCTATTAACGTATAATATTTTTTTTTATAACAAATCAAATATAGTTAATTCTATAAATATACCAAATATTACCACGCTTAAATAATCAAGTAAATGGTGGAATTTCTTGCAATTTTTAAAAAAGAGTACAATTATTCATGTTGTTATATTTTATTTAATAATGTTACCATTCATTCAAGAAATTTGTTTATTGCATATTGTCAACTTTGCAATCTTCTTAATCTTCTTCTGAATAAATAATCTGAAATACAAAATATGTAGAATATTTTTTTTTTCATCTTACCACAAATGAATTTGAAATATATATTCAAACATTTCACATTCTGCTTCTAATCTTGATTGTTGAGGAAGAGTAATGCTTAGTTGCATAGACTATATGAGGGATTTCAAAGAAAAAAATGAATTAAACGTGTAGAAAATTTGTTATAAAGTTCAAAAAATTAATCATGGAGTGAAATATTGTAAGAAAAGAAAATCTTACTTACAGGATAAAGGAAAGGTAAAGTTTTTATACTCTTTTTTGAGGTATTTTATATAATGTGATTAGTCATGACTCATTAACTTACGAGTCATGATAACAAACACATTAATTTCCTATTTAGTAAATATTTCCCATAGTGTCTCGCGTAATATAATTTTTACCTTTCCATAATATCAAAATCATAATATCTAATTAGAGGTTTCAAAATATTTTTTTAAGGTAAATTTTTATTTTTATTCATTTATATTATTTTAGTTCTTGAAGGGTTGTGTATATTAGTAAAATTCAGGTCTGAGAAAAAAAAGTATGCGACAATAATTACGTGGTAGGTTATAGCCAAAGTATAAAAAATCGTGACATAATCAAATATGATTATTACTAGTTGAGTTAAAATGATCATGCTGAGTCATTACGACTTTACGTGCACATGATTTGACGGCTAGTCAGTGATTAATTGAACGTAACATACAGAATATAACCGCTAGTAACAAGAAAAAGAAACCATTCCCACCATTACTTCCGGGTACTCCCGGAGACCCACGAATATTTTACAAAGATACTTACAATATTAACCTTTTTGATTATAAAATTAGGCAACTTTTCGACACCAGTTCCATTCCACATTACAACTACGGCTATGCCCGTGCGCTTCAATTTTACCAAGCATACAACGCCAAACCTACTTTATACATTGAAAACGTTACCAACAAGGCAAACGTCAACGCCACGTACATTATATCCGATAAAGATCGAGAAATTATTAACGATACAAAAATATTTTTACGGAGAACACCTCCTCCTGACAACAGCTCCACCTCAACCATCACGGACAATTCTTACGTTTCCGCTGCTGAATCTGCAGCGACTATCGTGTTTCCGCCTACGCCGGTGTACGATTAACTCCATCCTCCTTTCAAAACTTTAAAACAATTAAGGACCTGAAAATAGTGCACCATTCCTCACATGACAGTATTTACGTGAGGCGTCGATAGACGAAAGAAAAATACGGATGAACGTTTAGTTAGAATCCTTCTTTTTTGTTTATTTTATTTTATTTTATTTTATTTCGCTATTGTTCTTTATCTTACAATGCAGGCAATGCCTAGTATTGTCTTATAAAAAATAGGCAGTACGATCCTTGCGAGAGTTGAGTTTATACTTTATACGAGTATAGTGATGCGTCGTAGTTTCTTTTGTAAGGGCTCAGCTCCCAGTCTTGTATGGCTTTCGTCATTGTCTTAATTTTTAAAATAAAATAAAATAAGAATATAGCGCTATTACATACCGCAAATTTTGTATTACATTTTGCTTAATCTTATATTTAGTTTACTTACAATTTTACATATATGACTAATATAGCTCGGGTCTTAATATGCACTTGAGTAATTCTACCGATGTCATTACCTCTATTTGTTTTTTGAAAAAGTCTGATAAAATATCTTGAGCTAATTCAATTTATTAGATGTATTTAAATTGTACAATTATGAGAACAAGAAAATACAAGTGCATTTTTATTTGCTACCAACTCAAATAGCTTTATAAATTTGCGATTAAAGGGAATAAACTCCAATTTCCTTAGTTCTTTATCAACATATGCTTGGTTTAGGTTATTACCGTATATTATATCATACGTGACAAATCTTGTCCTTTTATTCCTCGTACGATTTGATTTAACTGCGATCTATGACGATTGATTGTTAATTGTACGTTTTTTCTAAAGTAAAAGGTTTAATTATCAACAACATATCTGTTGTTTCTAAAACGAAATTGTGCGGCGTATTAATGCAACACAAAGTAATAATTAAATATACAAACAGAAAGTGTGAAAGGGTGAAGCCAGTTGTCAAAAATTATAAGAACGTTCCGTAAATTTTTTTTTAACAATGGCAAAACTAACAAAACATTGTATAAAAAAATCAGAACATAAATTTGCTCAAGTTTATATGAAATAAACACTGGTCAATCTCTGAGCTAATATGTCTGAACATACCGCAATTGCAATACAAGTTATACAAATGAATATTCATAAAATAATTTCAAATCTAGTTTATGTGAAATTGGACTTAATTATGTTGGTTTCAGAGAAAAAAAAATAAAACTTCGACCAATAAAACGTTAGGTAGAAGTCGATCCCGAATTTTTGACGATACAGTACTCTATCTTCATTAATATTTCAATTGTTTTGGAACAATAAATATGGTTAAAAAATTTACAGTAATATCATGATCAGATTATATATATACATATATATTGTGAAGGTTATTCCATTCACTTTATTGAAAAATTTGAGTACTGCGCAGATTCTAGGAATAATATTGACCAGATTATACCGACTCATCGATATACTGTATATCTATCGCTAGTAATTTTTTTCTGATACCCGATTAAATAATGCTCTTTATGTGAACCCATTCAAGACTTAATATATAATATTTATCCAAGTTTCGAATATTCTATTTTTAAACATAATTTTTTGACGCCACGCCAAATTCGCATTTTCTGCAGATCCTTTGACTCATGAATCACTTCCCTATAAAAAATTTTTTAGAAAATTGATCACATATCGGAGTTTTTCTGGAATGAAAACTAAAAAATGACCATTTATCGGAATTTTCCAGAAAATTTTTTATAGGGCTTTAATTAAAACGTTGAATTACGTCGCTCGCACTTTCAACAAGTTTAATTTATATATTAAAATTTGTTAATAAATTAGAGTTATTAATAAGTTATATAGAAAACCAGAGACAATTATTGATTTTAAAACGTGTACCTGTATTAGTGTATGATAAAAATAGGAAATGGAAATCATTGTAATGTGTGATAGTTAATATGGCACAAAAACAGTATATTGAATCAAATATTGCTCCAGATCAATTATTGAGATTTGAGAATGCAAAAATTTAACAAATATTAGATGAATTTATTAAATATCAGATATTTATAAATAAACCATAAAATTAATAAAAATATAAAATAATATATAAATACCCTAACCCAATTAATTAATTGTATATAATCAACAGCTATTTATTAATGAAATGTACACCTGATTCGAAAACTTGCAGTGAACGTACCCTCTTAATCAGGACGTACTCAATCAGAGTTGTCGTATTGGTAAATGGTCTTTCCGGAATTCTAAAGAATGATGGTCTTAGAATCTTCTAACAATGATGTATGTCTGTTTAAATCATGGGATAAGTTGGGTCTATTCGACGGTTATGATGACGATGAGTTCAATCAATGGTGCAAATTTCATAGTTATAACGATATGGCACAGTTGGATTATGTGAAATATTGGACAGGTGCATACATCCTTCAGAATTAGACAAAGTGGAATGGAACACCAGCAGAAAATTTGCAGGAAAAAACTGAAAATTATTTGGGATTACGAGAAAGTGAAATAAAGAGAGATTATCAAATTTATCAAGATAATTTATCATATGAGAGAGTAGAAAATTTAAATGCATGTGTTGCTTCTATGATTCTCCAAATTGAACCCCTGCTAGTAAAAAATATGATATGGATCACCGATTTATGCGTGTTGGTTCTGTTTCATTTCTGAATGAAAATGAAGAATTTGAAGTTGAAACTATCAACCCTTGCGCTAGATTAACTATCGCTCGTGCTCATGGTCAAATCGATGATCTAATTGATGGTGCTGCATCAAAGCAAATGTGTGTGGTATAGATGAATCTAAAATTTATTTTAATTGGATTATGTTATTGACAAGGTTACTGAAATGTCGATGTCGTCGTCCAATAATAAGTTACACGTATCATTTTCAAGTATCGATGATCAATTTCCAGCTTTTAAAAGTATATATGGGTATGATATGATAGTAGATAATTAAAATTCCATAATAATGTAATTAATAAAGTTTTAATAAAATTATAATATTTTAACATTATATTGTATTTATTGTATTTTAATATTAAGTGTTTTCATTGTTTACATATTGGGGCGTGTACACGAAATTGACTCGTGTGCACTAAATTAATTTTTGAAGTTTCCATTCCCAGTCACCCGCATTATATCAAGATTTTGTATGCTTCTTTGTCATTAATTACAATCATTCTTTCATGAAGCGCCAAAAGCGTATACGCTAGAGTGTTGCTTTCTTAGCATGCGAGGTTATAGATCTTTCTAACGAAGAAAGCATTGAAAACTTAACAAGGAGGTTTGGTGAGTACTTACACGTCATAAAAAAGAAACCCGAATGTTAATAAAGTATCAAGTGTATTTCGTGTTTGAATTTTTATTATTTGTGATTATTTTCTTTTTTTACATGATAGATAGATAATCTTGTAACTGATTAATGATATAATATTTCAAGAGAAAAGATTCTGCAATGATATTACGCAATTTATAAAAAAAAAAGTTTTTTTTAATTTGGACTAGTTTCCAGATCTAATACATTAGAAAATTTGGAATCAATCGAAATGTGATTTTACGATCGATATACCCCTATAAATATTAGTAATGACTCATAAATATTTACATTTTTTTTTAACTTTTTTTTTACTTTTTTTTTAAAAAAAAGAGATTTTTTTATCAAGATTCAAGATTTTAATGAGTCATTATTTCCTATAGATCTTGTAATTTTGATTATCAAATAATTAACATCGAAGTTCCCATATCATCTACTGTGTAAAAGATTTTTTAAAAAGTATAAATATACCCCAAACTCCCTCAAATTTCTCAATACTTTATTTTTCATTTTTTTTTAAAAAACTTCAAATAAACATATTCACTCACTCAGAGAAATTAAGTACGGAATATATTCCATACTTTATGGAAAAATATATTCTCAATACTTCATTTTTCATTTTTTTATCAAAAACTTCAAATAAATATATTCATATAACGCAACTCACGAACTCACGAACTCAGAGAAATTAAACTTGTACTTTATGGAAAAATATATTCAATATGAAATTTTTCCTTTTTACAAACTCTTCGTTTCTCTTCGATAAGTAACTCGTCAGATGAAATTAATAAACCAAGAATATCTTTTACCTGATAGGTTCTTTAAGTCTTCTTTTGTTTTTCGATATTAGAAAAAATACATTTTATTATTTTATGGAAAAATATATTCAATACGAAATTTTCTTTTTTATTTTTTTTATTTCCAGGCAAGACTCACGAAATTCTTTCTTGGTTGGCAATGAAAGCAATACTCAAACTCAACATTTAAGGTCAATGTTACAAAGGTTGAAAATAAAAAATATAATCTTGAAGATGAAAAAATGTAATATGGTATGGATTGTATTTACGAATTAAGATTTACAGTAGACCAATATTAAGGTAAGCATGCGCTCCCTGCTTGCATAGTTTTAATGATACAGGCTTACAGATAAAAAAAGTTGAAAGAGAGTATATATGAGAAACTGGCTTTCCTGGAGGAGGGTTAGCCTATGCACCTGGCTCGTATGCATGGTATCATATTGTCAGTAGTATCCCAAAGGACCTTACAGTAAGGGTTTAAAAAAAAGAAAAAAAAGATAATAAAAAAAAGAAAAAAAGTGAAAAAAAAATGAAAAAAAAATAGAAATAAAAGAAAAAAAATATATAGAAGAAAAAAGAAAATGGTGAAAAAATGAAAATGAAAAAATAAAGAAAAAAAAAATAGAATTAAAAAAAAATAGAAGACATGAAAAAAAAAGAAAAAAAAAGAAAATTTTAACAAAAAATAAAAAAAAAAACAAAAAAACAAAAAAAAAATTTTTATTGCGCAAGTTCTAGGGTGTCCACTTGAGTAGTATGATACCATCACCTCTCTGGAAACTTTTTTTTTACGCGTATGGTGGTGGTTGCTTCCACCTGGTACCAGCCATACTAACGACTTTTTTTTCTTGCTATTTATAGGCTCCATTTATTGTACTTGTGATTAAAGAGAGATCTTCTTTTCAGTTGCAGTATCATCTGCACAAGGAACTACAGAACTAGATTTAAACGCCTTTCATATCGTATCAGCATCGGTCACGCAGGACCCAGAAATATATATAAAAAGGTCAGGTTTGAGTTTGCGTATTTTGAACTAAAAAAAATATGAAAATCTTTCCTTTTTTAGATAATTTTTGATAATTCCAGTCTGAATTTTATTTCCTATTATAGTAACCGACTGACATTATCATAATTCCGGCCCTGAAAAAATGCGTACAGCTCATAGTAAAAAATTTTTTTCATCACCTGACCCCTATATACATATTTCTGGGTCCTGG